TTTTCGTTATGGCGCACAGAGTCAGGCCTTCGTGGATGGACCGATGGGCAGATTAACCCATCAAATTCGGTTTAGTCGCCTTAGTGACGGTAAACAAAGCCGACAATTATTAGAGAATGCGGGTTGTGCATTTCCTTCTGCACCATAAATTTGTGCATGTTGGGAAATACCCCTTCTGACATTGTTCTGTGTTTGCCGAGGGTCTAGACCAAAATGTTGGAGTCCACACAACCAACACGAACGATGTTTGCTTGCGAAAGGAAAGACCTCCTTGTTGTACAGCTTGACACCTCTTTGGTCTCACTGTGTAACTGCACATTGGGGCAGTCACACTGGCAATGCCTTGAAATTTGGGCATTCCTTTATATTCGTTGTCGACTAGCTCTGGAACCGCACGTCTATGCGCAACGTCTGAGCACCGCCATTCTCTCCTCTTTACGTCGACCCGCGTCCTCCGATGTTCCTGGCAAGTTGCGGGTTCTATGGTGCGTAGTGGAAGGAACGCAACGTCGTCTTCTCTGCCACTCATCCTTCCCATGCTTGCTGCCTCTCCTAACACCTCATGCCTCTTCGCCAAGGCTGCAACTTCCACGACCAGTGAACTGAACCTCCCACCATGCATTACGCCACCCATAAGCATCCAAAATGAGCTGCAGAAGTTGGACAACTACCACTCACAAATTTTATAGGGAAGACGTTTGCATTTCGCTGAATAAGATCCGCTTTACTTTGAACATCTATGCAGCGGGTGTTGTCAATTTGCTACTAATGACATCGTGGCTGTGTCTCTTCTTCAACTCCTCCTCTCACCTCTTAAGGTCGCCTTTTGTCAACAATCAACTCTAGTCTCGACTCTCCTGTCATCCTTCACACACATTCCTTCACCTTTAAAGCAACGTTTGCCTCATATCCTCCTTTTTGCACTTGGATGAGAGGGAAACGTGATCGCAGGGTGTGGAGAGAAGGCTGCAGACTCTCTCACCACTGCCACTCAAGGACTTCACCATTGACTGTTTATTTTTGCTCAAATCAAGTCAATGTCATTGTGCATTTGGCATTTACCCCAACCAAAGAACTGATCAGCTTTCAAGCTTGACAACTATGCACATTTAACACTTTTTTGACCACTTCATTGCGTGTGAGGGGAAGAAGGGGTGGGAGAGAAGAATGAGTTTGGAAGAAGTGAGTAACTGTTTGGTCGAGTCCAATTTACATTCCTTAAGCAATCCAACAGTCCATCCTTGAGGCTGTTTACCGTCTGTTCCCGACACAATGTAAGCGTGAATAGCAAATATGCGTCCAGTGGTCGTGCCGAGGTCATGTTAAATGGTGCAATTCCACTTCAACATGTCTTCCCCACCACTCCTCCAAGTTAAGTGAATGAGGGAGGGACAAATGGCACCACCAGTTGAGCCTTTCTTACTAACCACTGGACATGACAGCAGAGTGGTTGATGCAATCATCACCGTCACAGATTTCCAAGTCAGCATGTCGGTACGTGTGCAGCACTGTCAAATGCATGCAAGCCTTCAAACCTCAACAGGATGCAACATGGACGTGCGACATTCTACCACCGCTACATGCAAGAATGCTTGCTTGAGTCACATAAAAGCGTATCAACCTACTTGTAAGGCTGTGGAGGCAGAAATTCTTGCCACGTGTTTGGCCGAGACTTGGCTGGGTCAGATGTCATCGACCAAGAGTGGTCCACTTTATTACTAATTAAGGCCAACTTTGGCACAAGTATTCGCATTTCCTTGAGCACTGTAGAGTTGAACCATTAACGTGAGTGGTGGGGTGAGAAGTGGGATATGACGACAAGTGGGGATAAAAGCTCTAACAAGAGAGTCTCTCGGGGTCAGTTGATGCCAATTGGCTTGAAATCAGCGGAGTAATTGTGTTGACTTGTGATAGGAAGGCGAGGGAATGGGAAGGAAGAGCTGCCATTTTGCATCCTCCTCCGCTTATCAGCATCGGACTGGCAGTGACACCTAACAACGGACAAAAATGCAGACAATCAAACGAAGTAGAAGAAGATGGTGATGAGAAGGAAGAAGAGAAAGAAGACTTCCGCAGGGAACAACGACTAGTCATGTCTGAGGAATGGATTTTGGAGGATCATTCGGACTTCATTCCAACCCCAAATCATGGGTTGTTACACCTTTCAAGTTTGTGTGAAGGAGGGATGTCACTGATTTAGGCGCATGTCAAACTACTTCCTTGCCTCCTTGACCTCTCGCTCAATCACTCTGTTGACCCACTCCAACCTCTTTGCTGCCTGCAAGACGCGTTGACAATATTTGCATGGTGGACGTTGGGCGTTTCTACCCTTTTGTCACTCTTTGACAACGTCGATTTGGCCGCGCAATCACTTCAATCTTCAACAGTGAGGACGCGATTCACAGGCCATCTCAATGCACGACAGGACTTCCTTCGCAACTGAAGAACAGCATTTTTGAGTGTGAACTCACCTCAATCGCCTTCTTCGAGTGACTTTCCAAACAAGCACAACTCCGCATTGTCTTTCGTCTCACTGTCACCATGACTGCCTTTTCCATGCTGCATTGCAGTCTGCCATCTCTCGAAGGCGCTCCACCAAACAAGCACCATTGTCTGCTCCAAAACAGAGTCTCTAGCCTTCCCACCATACGAGCAACTACCCACGGCTCGACTAACATCCGTCTTCTGATCTCAGGAGGACAGTCCACTCCACGCAAGTCAATGCCAAAGTAGACATCTCAACCAGAGCACCAATGTGTTGTTCTCCGCTGTGATGAGATGCATTTGCCCCACCTTCCCTTAAACTGTCCTCGGCAATGTGGAGGACTGACACGAGGACAAAAGTGCGCCTT